CCACACCTTCACAGATCTGCAGACCCTCAGGAAAGGAGAAAGGGACTCAGCAGGACTGCAGGGTGCACAGGGGACACATCTTCACAGGTCTATAGACCCTCAGGAACGCGACTCACTGTTATGACTGAACTGTGTCCCTTCTTTCCAAATTCACAGCTGACACCAAGCCCCTGAAGCCTCCACCTGGACAAAGGGCTTTTAGAGGTGACTCATGCCCAATGAGCCCTGATGGTCGTCCTGGTCCTGTATGACTGGGTCCCTTAGGAGACGACAGACACCACGGATACCCACACAGATAAAAGGCCACATGAGGTCACAGTGAGAAGGCACCAGGCCAAGGGGAGAGGCCTCTGAGGACCAGCCCTGAGACACTGGACTTCTAACCTCCAAAACTGAGAAAATAAATTTCTCGTCTTTAATGCACCCAGTCTGTGGTATGACAACAGCCCCAATATGGTAAGGGAGACAGTAAATGTTAAATATTGGGCTGGCGCTGAGGCTCAGCAGTAGAGCGCTTGCCTAGCACACGAGAGCACCACATTAAAATACACAAAATAAAGGGACTGAATTCAATACAACTAAAAAAACAAATATTTAAAAAAACGTTAGATATAGTTTCATTTACAATTGTGCCCCCCAAGATGAAAAACTTAAAGTATAAATTTAACATGTTCAGTCCTTAATACTTCAATGTTATAAACTAAAATGGTTAAGGAAATCAAAAATTATTAAATAGATGGAGAGGCATACCATCTTCATGGACAGAAAGACAATAAATGTCAACTTTCCCCAAACTGATGTTTGCTTAGTGCAATTCCTAATAAAATCCCAAAAAGAATTTTTGTAGGCCTGGGGATGTGGCTCAAGCGGTAGCGCGCTCGCCTGGCATGCGTGCGGCCCGGGTTCGATCCTCAGCACCACATATAAGCAACGATGTTGTGTCCGCCAAGAAATGGAAAACATTAAAAAATTCTCTCTCTCTCTCACTCTCTTTAAAAAAAAACGAGAATTTTTGTAAAGACAGTACTCTAAAAGGTACACAGAAATACGAAGAGCGATAATAGTAGGAAAATTTTTTAAAAAAGATAAAATTGGAGAAATCAGTCTGACCAACTTCAAAACCTACAATTAAGCTCTGTAACCAAGACAGTGTGGTGTGGTGGAAAGTTAGCACACAGCTCAGGGTGGAATAAAGATCCAGAAAAGGACTTCTGCAAAGGCGTAAAGCACTTCGTGGAGGAAGGTCAAGTCTCAACGCCCCACGCTGAGCAGAGGACCCACGCGGGCTCCGGCACGGACCTTGGCCTAACTCACACTTAGGCACAACTTCACTCTGGGGGCCACAGGCTCATGTACAACTATAACCCATTCAGAGGACGCTGGGGAAGTTGGGGCTAAATGAGACGCCTTCAGACTCAGCCCACAGTAGAACTACAGAAGGAAAAACGGATGGGCCAGCCTCCCCTGGCCCAGCACCTCCCACCCAGGGAGGGGAGAGAAGAGGCACCAAGGGGCCGGTGCTCGCAGGCCACACAGTGACTCCCTCATCCTCAGCAGGGCACAGTGGCTCTCTGGAGAAGGGAGCCCCAGCCCACCTCTTCATTCTGGCAGGAGCATGATCCACCCTCTGCACACCCCAGGCAGTGGGCCTGCGGGCACCAGGAGGCTCTCCCAAGACCCCACCATGGCTTCCCTCCCGAAAAGGACCGTGTGAAATGGGGTTCACCTGGCAGTGCACCGAGAGGCCCAGGCCCCGCTTGTCAGACACGATGAGCGTGATGGTGGTCTTGAGAATGGTGGCGAGGAACGTGTTGACCCCGAAGACCAGGGCACAGAGCTCTTTGGACAGAGAGGATGCGATCTGAAAACTGGGCAGAAGAGCAGGTCAGACAGCTGCAGAGGACGGGAAGCAAGACCTCAGGGAGGGTCCAGAGGAGCTCCAGAGGCAGCGTGGTGGGAGGGAGGGAATGTGGATCCCAGACACAACCCCACCCACATAGGCAACCAAAAGCCTGGCCCTGCCTGCCCACAGGCCCTGCCCCACAAAGCCCCGTCCCAGATGCCTGTTCCCAGACTCCCCCACCTCTGCCCCTGGCCCTGTCACAGACACAGGACCACCCAAGACGCACAGGGTGGCTCTCAGTCTCGCCCCTAGGTGCACAGTGAGGCTCAACAGGTACAGTCTCTGGTACCCTCTAGCCCTGCCCACAGCCACCGGACAGCTCCCAGGAGCACAGCACCCCCAGCCCCACCCTCCTTCAGGCACATGCCCACCCACCAGCAGCCAGCAGCCAGGCAGACCCAGCTGGGGCGCTCTCCCAGCTCAGGAGCAGAGTGCGGGCCCCTCACGGCCACACAGCCACATCCTCGACCTAGTAGGACAGGCACCAAGAAGCACAAGTGCAGGTGCAGGAAGATCCCACAGAACCTGGGACAACGTGCTCGGGAGGTCCTCCCGAGAACAGGGGCGGGAAACGTGCACAGTGGAGGTCTCTCTGGAAGACAGGCAGGGAGTGAGGACAGGAGACAGGGAAAGCGGGGGACGAGGGGCAGTGACGTCCTCCAGGCCTCTGGTGCCCCCAGGAAAGGGACATCTGAGTGCAGTTCTGATGGATTCCCCAGAACATGTTCCTTGAAAGAAAGACTGGACAAAAGTGTTCTAGAATCCCCTCAATTAAAAATGCCTAAGAACCTTTGAGAAAGAATGACCAAGAGCCGATGGACAGGGGACGCTGGGGTCAGGAAGAGAACCCAGAGCACCTCGCAGAGGAGAACTGCGCACAGGAGCTGCAGCCCATGAGAGCAGGTGGGATTGCAGGTCAGCTGGGGGGCTGCCCAAGCCAGGGTGAGCACCCCACCACAGTGGAACCCAGCAGAGGGCGTCAGAGATACCAAATGGGCTCAGGAGGCTGAGGCAGGAGGACCCCAAGTTCAAAGCCAACCTCGGCAACTCAGCGAGGCCCTAAGCAACCTGTCTCAAAAAATAAAAAAAGGCTGGGGATGTGGGTCAGAGGTTAAGCACCTCTGGGTCCAATTCCCGGTACCAAAAAGTAAGCAGATTAACGTTAAAAAATATTTAAGTAAAAACAGAGTTAGGAAAGGCCTGCAGGTCAGAGGCTCGTGGCTGGGGTACCACCAGGACAAGCATGCAGACAGGCTGCAGGGTTTCTCAACGTTGACCGGAACCCCCTTTCAGGCCCTCACCTGGCCTGCCCCTGGTCACCTGTGAGCCACCATCAGAATGTGGAAGCAAAAGTGCAGACAGGAAGCCAGCTCAGCACGTGGCCACAGGAAGCAGGGGAACTGACCTCACAGGAGTGACCTGGACACAGCCCGGTGTGGCCCTGCAGCACCTGTGCCCTGCGGCGACGTCTGCTCCTCCCATGTGCTTCCCACACTGTCTGGGGCCCGCGTAGCCCACACCCTTCATGACCAGCCAAACATGCCTGATAGCCTGGGATGGCCACCCCAGCCTAGTGCCCTGGTCAAAGTGGACGGGCAGCAGAGGTGAGTCCCACCTCAGAAACACTGTGGGCCTCCACAGGCTGGGGGCAGGGTCAAGAGGCCTCCTAGGGAGAAGGCAGACTGGGACATGGGAGACATGAGGGGCAGGCGTGGGGACAGCGGCCACAGCCCAGGGAGGTCTGCAACCCAGAGTGTGGTCAGGATGGGACAGAAAGGACCCTGGGTTTGAGCCCCACTTCCAGCACCCAGAGAGCAAGCATTCGCGGTGCCGAGGGCAGGGAGTTCAGGTGCAGGCCACATCCCCAGGTGGGGCAAGACGGGCTCGGCGCTCTCAGGGTAGGGCATGTGTGCTGCCGGTGTGCGGGGGCCCACGGCCCTAGTGGGGAGGGAGGCAGGGCAGCCCTGGGAAGGGTGGGCAGGGGAGTGGGAGGCCAAGGGAGGCAGCACCTGTGTGGACAGTGTGAGCCAGAGCACGTGTGGGAAGTGTGAGTGTGTTACACACATCTGGTGTGTACACAGAAAGTGCCTGGCATGGAGAGTGGGCCCTCTCAGCTGGTGGTCGTGCCCTGGCAGCTTCAGAGAAGAGCCCAGAGGGTCTGGGTGAGGGGCAGTGCAGGGGTCCTGGGGCTGGCAGGTTGGGGCAGGGAGCCAGAGGGAGGTGGTGGACCTCAGCTACCTGTGAACAAGGCCAGTCTTCCACAGGCCGCCCCTGCTGCCCATGTGCACACCTGCTGCTCCCTGCAGAACCTCCTGCTAGTCCCTCCCCTCGGCCCACTCACGTGGCGATGGGCACAAGGAACTGGTAGGCGCCGCGGAAGAGCACATAGGCTGCGTAGCAGAGCCAGATGTCCTTGGTGCTGGTCATGAGAAAGACCAGCCCGGCCTGCACGGCCAGGATGCTCGCAATGACCACCTTCGACCACAGAGCCCAGCGGATATTCACAAAGCCCGCGGCAAAGGATGTGATGGCACCTGGGGACAGGAGATATCACGGTCACGCTAGGGCCAGGTAGAGCACAGGGAGTCCAGGGAGGGGCGGGGTACAGGCTGTGCAGCTTACACTGGGGGGCAGGGAAGCAGGCCAATGGTGGGAGCTAGCTGGGCTAGAGGTGGGAGTGCTGGTCATGCTGAGGGCCAGGCCCGAGAAGGGGGGGCTGGGGTGAGGGCTTGGAGGACAGGGCTCCACGTACCCAGGAGTGTGGAGGCAGCGTCTGCGGCGCCGTTGTAGACCTGCGTGCTGCTGGCGGTGATGAGCACCTTGTTCCACAGGACGTGTACGTAGTAGACTACCAGGTAGTAGCCAGCAGAGTTGAAGACCCACCAAAGGGACCAGAGGCGCAGCTGTGGCCGCCGCGCACTGCCCACCAGGTCCCACAGCATGTGCGCCAAGAAAGAGTCCCTGCAGGCACCCAGAGCACGCCCCAGCTTCCCACGCACAGGCTGGTCAGGGCCCGGGTGCATCTGGTCCAGCTCGCTGGGTGAGGCTCCACGTGCAGGCGCACTGCGGTTGAAGAAGAGGCTGCGCTTGGGACGCCTCAGGAAGAGGGCGAGGACCAGGCTGAAGGTGAGGAAGGCCAGGGAGATGTAGTTGAGCATGGAGAAGGACATCTGGCCCACGGAGACCAGCAGCTGGCCCAGCACAGAGCTGGTGAAGACGCCCAGCAGCACCGCGGTCCTCGAGTAGCTGGCCATGCGCTGGTAGCGGGCAGGGCGCACCAGGGAGAAGATGTAGGAGGAGTAGGCGATGCGGGCGGCCATGGTGATGCTGTAGCAGACCTCCATGAGCTGCATGTGCAGCACAGAGTGGCCCAGCAGCAGCAGCAGCCACACGCACACGTAGCTCAGGCCCTGCAGCAGCAGCACGGGCTTGTAGCGCAGGTAGTCGGTGAGCAAGAAGACCGGGACCAGCACCACCAGGTAGGAGTAGGACAGCACCGGAATGACCTCGTTGGTCACCTGCGGACAGGGAGCAGCCACTGTGAGGACCACTGGCCACTCTGCTAAGTGCACAGGGGTGACTAAGCAGGGGCCCACACTGCCGCAGTCATCCCTGCTGACCACTTTCTGTGGCAATGGCTGCCTTGCCACCATGAGTCAAATGCCCACACGGCTCCCTGCGGAATACCCTGTCCAGGCATGCCAGGGGCCCTGGGGACTGGAGAGCCTGCAGCCCAAGAAACCGCCGACCCCAGGCAATCAGAAGGAGGCAGTCCACAGGAAGTGGCCATTACCACTGAAAACGACCCATTACATCCTAGGTAGTGGGAATCTGGACTGACTTGTTTTTCCTGGACTCAGAATTTGGTTTCACCTTAAATACAACAGGAAAAACAGCACTGTGGGCAGTAGGTACCACCTGAGCCACCTCGGCCCTTCCAGAGGGCAGGGCAGGACAAAGGAGGTCAGCGGGGGGTTACCAGGACCTGGGGGACGAGCCAACTCAGCCCTTCCAGAGGGCAGGGCAGGACAAAGGAGGTCAGCGGGTGGGTTACCAGGACCTGGGGGACGAGCCACCTCAGTCCTTCCAGAGGGCAGGGCAGGACAAGGAGGTCAGCGGGGGGTTACCAGGACCTGGGGGACGAGCCAACTCAGCCCTTCCAGAGGGCAGGACAGGACAAAGGAGGTCAGCGGGGGGTTACCAGGACCTGGGGGACGAGCCACCTCAGCCCTTCCAGAGGGCAGGGCAGGACAAAGGAGGTCAGCGGGGGGTTACCAGGACCTGGGGGACGAGCCACGTCAGCCCTTCCAGAGGGCAGGACAGGACAAAGGAGGTCAGCGGGGGGGTTACCAGGATCTGGGTGGGCAGGGGGCTGTGGTGAGAGGGAAAAAGGAGGGAAGTGGACAGGACGGGCGGCAAGGCAGCAGCTGGAGGCCCAGCCACGGGCCAGAGCCCAGACCTGCACCCAGCACCTACACAGGAGGCCAGGCAGAGGGACAGCCTGGAGAAGGTGGCCCAGGGCCTTCATCTCAATTAAGGGACGACATTTGCTCTTTGCCTCAAGAGCCTGATGACAGGCCACGGCCCCAGGCCAGGACCCAGGAGGCTGTGGCACGCTGCAGGAGGCACGTCCAGCCACACGAGCTGGGAACGCCAGCCGGGGAACTTCCAGGACTCCCCTAGGGTCCCAGAATGTCCCCTGCACCCCAAACCTGAGGGTTCTGACAGATTCTTACACCAAAGCAGAAGCTCCTCCCCCACAGAGAAGCCCTGGAGAAACCGTCTGTGCTCAACTGCAGCAGGACCAGCCCTGAGTCCACACACATGAATGTCCCCAGTCAGACGGCAGGAGGCAGGTTCCAAAAGAGGTGTCACTAGACACCACTTACGTGAACTGGTGGATCCAGGCCCAGCAAGCACTGGCCTGCTCAGTCCCTGCAGCCAGAGGGCTGAGACCAGAGGACTGGCCTGTGGGGCCAGAGGGCAAAGCCCGAGACCACAGTCCCCGCGGACTCCAAGGCCTACTGGGACGGAGTGACCTCTGCAGTCTACGCTCTAATCCGTGTGGAAGGTGAGAGGGCAGGAAGGCAGGGCCGGTGAACATCTCTGCGACGGTTTTCCACCTTACTGTAAAGGGTGCTTCACACACACGCCTGTTCTATCCATGATGACGCTGGACTGCGGCCCCAGTGGAGAGCAGAGAAGCCTCTGGCCAACCACTGAGTGTGCGGGCTGAGGGCTCTCCTCCATGCTCCTTCTGTCTGACCCCGTTCTACACAGCATACCGTGCAACTCAAGGAGGAAATGACCCCAGCTGGGCCTCGCCGGGCCCTGGGCTGCATGTCTGCCGTCAGCCCATTACAGGGTTTCCATGGCCCTGTGGGCCCCGAGCCAAGAGAAAGGAAATCCCTTTGGTAACCTCTAGGCAGAGACCTGCTGGCTCCTGGCTGGAGGCAGGTGCCCGCGTGGCTGGACACGGGCTCCGCCGGATGGTAGAAGAGGGGCCTGGTTGGGGGGGCAGCACCTTAGACCTGTGCTTCATCTCTTAGAACCCCAGACCCTCCTAACTGGCCTCAAGAATGGGCCCCTCCCTCCGACCGTGCCTACTGTGGGGAGCATGGGGTCCAGGACCCGCCCAGAGCCCCCGGGCCCCTGTGTGGTACTCACACAGCCACCTACCTTCTCCAGCCTCAGCTGCCCATGCATGCAGAGCCCCTGGCTCCCCTGCCCACCTGTGAAACACGGCCCCTCCAGCCCACACCCACGTGCCTGCTCCCGGGTGAAGTTCTTGTCGGGCCCCAGGAGGTAGGGTGTGATGAAGCTCTCCCCGGGCCGCATCTGGGACATGAAGCCGTAGAAGCAGAGGTAGAACACCAGGCATCGCCATGAGTGGGGCTCAGGGCCGGGTCCAGGCTCCTTGGACGCCTCCTTCTCCACCACCTGGCCAGAGGGCACCATGCTGCCCAGGCCCACACTCAACCCTGGTGGGGACTGGAGGCAACACACCTGGAAAGAGGAACAGAGTCAGGCAGGCTGGCAAGAGCCTGCGGCACCCCCTCCCAGGGCTCCTCCTCCCAGGCTCAGTCAGGGTCCGAGGCCCCACCACATGGCCTGGACAGCCAGCCTGAGGACCACCTGGGCCCTCCCACCCAGGACCATCAGGGCAGCATACCTCCCAAAGTCTCCCAGACAGACAGAAGCTCCAGCCACAGGGGACTGCTGGAGGTTGATTAAACCAAGCAAACAAATGCACTTAGTTAACAGATTGATGACGTTTAAAATTCAGGGTCTGGGGGCACACTAGATTCATTTTCAGTGCCTGGCAATGTGTGTGGTCATGGCTACTGGGCTGGACATGGCTCCCCTACCCACAGGTCTCAGGGGACAGGTCTTAGGGACAGCTGGCTCTGGCACTGGCAGTGACTACTGCACAAGTGTCCCACAAAAGCTGCTGCTCAAGTGGCATCCAAGGTGGCCAGAGAGGAACAGCTCTGCTAGGACACCAGGCATGCACAGGGCCATTCCACAGGCGGTCAGCAGGGGTGGCTGGGGGCACAGGCCGGAACCCCTGGATGGTCCCCCACACAACCAGGGGGCTCTACTGTGGAATGCGGTGGGTAGGTGCTGCAGCAGGAGAGGAGGCGGTGGAGAAGCAGGTGCCCTGCAGGGGCCAGGGGCAGCCGTGGGCAAAACGAGGCAGAAGAAGGGACGGAGACAGACCCAAGGCCTAGACTTGCACTCAGGGCCCCAGTGTCCTAGAGAAGCAGCTAGAAGCTGCCATCCCAGACAGCAGGCACCCAGGTCCAGCTGCAGGGGGCCCATCCAGCCTGCCGTTCCCAGAGGCGGGCCTCGCAGCACAGCCCGGGCACTTTGATGGGCACCTGTGAGGACTCTGCGCTCAGCAGTGTCTTCCCCTTCCAGATGCTGTCCAGGACAAAGGCTCCACCCACTGCTGGGGGTAGAACAGGCACTAACAGGGCGGAGCCACCTCCACGCCCAGGTCCCCAGCGCCCTGTGGCTTGTGCTGGCCCCCGCACCTCCACGTGCCAGGTGCTGCAGGCTTCCCACATGGCTCAGGAGGCTCTGGCCAGCTGCCCCTGTGACCGCAGCTCCAGTCTGCGGGTGACCTCCCTCCTGGAGGACGGCGTGGGGGATCCTGTGCAGAGGTGGCCCCCGTTGCTGAGGCAGGGGCAGGGGCAGAGGCACGGGGAGGCAGGCGGGACTGGCCGCGCTGACCACCCACTCCTCTGCTTGGACTCAGGCGGGTGGATACTCTGCCTGGGTAGGCACAGCGTCTGCAGTGGCCTCCAGAGGGTCTCAGCTCAGGGAGAACCCCGAGGGGCCAAGAAAGCTCCAGAGACGTGGCACCGGCTTTCAGGGCCCGATTCCTGGCACTGGGACCCTGGGACCTGGGACACCGCTTAGCTGAGGACACCTCTGACCCTCCTTTACACAACAGAGGCCCAGGAAAGTGAGGTGACTTGCAGGGACCCACTCTGGGGCTCCCCCACCCCACGGCCCTTGTCAAGACCATCCGAGATCCTGTCCTGAGTCCCCATGTGCTCCTTTCTGTGCCGAGGGGAAAGGCAGATTAACCCCTAAAGAGGCAGGGGCCGGCGGCCTGTTTTGGGGGGCTGCCAGGGCGGGAGGGCAGGGGCCAAACAGCTGCAAGGATTCCAGAGAGTTCTATGGGGGGGGATGATGAGAACAGCAGTGGCCCCGGAAGTTACAGGGCCTGGGACAGGACCCACATTCTCAAAGGGCCAGAGAAAAACAAGCAGCCGGGCAGGGCCGACAGCAGGACACAGCTACCCAGGAGAAGCCCAGGCCAGCCCGGCTTCAGCTGAACAAACGCTGAGGTCCACTCTCTTGGCCTCACTCTTCCCAACCTCCCGGGGAGCTTTGGAAACAGCTGAGAAGGGGTGGGGGCCAGGAAGGCCCAGCCCTCAGGAGGCAGCTCCGTTCCTCACTGGGTGTCCACTGGGAATCGGGGTCACACTCCTTTTACTTCCCAAACCCTGGAGGGACTTGAGGCGTCCCCAAAGCTGGTGTCAATGCAGAGGTATTGGGCGACGAGATGACTGGATCGCGAGAGCTGTGACCTCTTGACCCATCCAAGTCTGAATGGACCTCCCAGGTGGTCACTGAAGGCAGGTGGGCAGGGCTGGAGGAGAGGGTCACTGGGGGCTACCCTGTGGCCCCTTCCCCACCCCTGCTTCCTGGCGGCCTGCCCGGCGCACGATGATGTCCTGACTCACCTGGGCCCACCACAGACCGACCTCTGAACTGTGAGCCAAATAAACTTTTCCTCCTAAGTGGTTCCTGTTGGGTGTTTGGGTCAGTGTGACACAAGGCTGAGCTCACCAGGGACCCGCCCCTCAGGTCCATCTAAACCCTGGTGCAGCCGAGGACACCCTGCAACGTGTCCCACGGGGGCCAGAACAGGCCACCCACCACACCCAGAGAGCAGTCTCAGGACTGCTGTCCCTGCTCCTGTAAGCTCCTGTAAGCTCTGCCCCTCCCTTCCAGTCCCCTCCCTGCCATCTGGGGACACTTCTGCAGCACAGTGGGGGGCTCTGACATCTTGTAAGGAGAAGCAGGAGGCTGACAGGGCCCTGCACCATCTTTGTTCTTGGAGTACATAACTGCTAAAGGGCCAGCATGTCCCCACAGGTGGGGCTTTGTGGCATGCGCACATTTCCAGGTTCCCATCTACAGCCCAGCCCCTGGTTAGCATCACCCCTGCATGGCACTGCGCTTCCACCTGAACTTCCACCACTGCTCAGAGTGGGGGCACACCCATGCACACCCCCAAAACCTTCCAGAATCGGTGCTGGGGCTGCCAACTCCAGCACCTACTGGGCCAGTGGACAGCATGACTAAGAGGCAGGCTGGGACAGAAAACTGGCCAGGGGAGGGGCTCAGCCCTGCCCCAGAAGCCAGGGCTGTCACACAGGAACAGGGGTCAAAAGTCCAGGTCCACACTTGAAATACACTTTTAACACTGGCCCCTGATGGACAATGTTGAGCTCCACAAGTCCAAACACTTGTTTATCTGCACAGTCTTTCGCAACCCAGGGCAGGGCACCCTTAAGCCTGTTAGCGGCCAGGACAAGAGGCCAGGACAGCTCTCCCCAGGCCAACCCCTGAGCAGGACTGAGGTTAGCCAAGGTCTCATCAATGAGGCTGGGCCTCAACAGCCCATTTTCCCTGCCAGTCCACTCCACTCCACCGGAGGCTATCAGCTCCCACACAGTCAGCTAACAGGCGAACTAAGTCCTCTGGCCTCCACAGCAGAGCCTCAGACACCTCTTCCCCACACAGGCTTGGAGCCACCTCCCGGAGGAGAGCTGGGGGAGCCCACGAGGCAGGCACAGTCTCGGAAACAGCACGGGAGCTTGTGGCAAGCAAGTGGCACGGCTGGGTTCAGAGACAATCCAAGAAGTCCTCCACCAGCAGAGTGACATCCTTCCTGAGTAGGACTGGCCTCTGACTGTGGCTGACATGGCCACACAGGCAAGCACGGTTTCTCAGCTGCCCAGCACAGACAACCAAACATCTGGACCACAGGCCTCTGAAGCACCCAGGCGGCTTTACTGGGCCAGAGGGTCCTGCATTCTGCTGGGTCCATCTAGGCTCCGGGGGGCAGGGAGAGGACTTCATCCTGTCTCCACTAGGCAGTGCTGAGAAACAGCTTCTTGTAGAAAGCTCTGGACTCCAGAGCAGGTTTAGGTTCTGACTGGTATCCTGGGACCAGGACGACTGGATGGTCAAGAATTCCCTGGCCACCCCCCAGCCTCCCCAGGAGCTTCCCATGGAGACTGGGACAGGACCCTGGGAAGCGGTTTCCTGTTATAGACATGTTGGAGGGCCTCTCAGGAGAGGCTCTCAGGCCCCTGTCCAACAGGGAGACACCTATTCCCTGCCAGAACATGCCACTCCAAGGGGAAGTTGTTTGAGCCCTATCTACAAAAGGCCTGGAGGCGCGCCAGGGAGCTTTCCTGGGCCAGAGGACTGGGTGGCAGACTCCCGCCAGATGGAGCACGAGCACAGGTGCAGAGGCACGCGCATCAAGGCGGGTCCGTGCGTTTCTCCTGGCCCGGGGAGAAGGCGGAGAAGAGGAGTGGCGCGAAGTTACCAGAGGGTCGGACACCATGGGCGCCCCGCATGCACGCAGCCCGTAGCACCTGAACCTTGGCGCCAAACACTGAGACCCCACTCCACACCCTTCACGCCCCCGGCGACCCTTGACATCCCGCAGACCCGGGTCTGCAGCCCTCATCCAGGTTCTCCAGGCATTTCGCAGATCCTGGCCCGCTCCCGCACTCACTCTGGCACCCCGCAGACCCAGGCCCGCCCCCGCACTCAACCACGCACCGCGGCCCGCACTCACCCCACGGACCCCAGCCCTTCCCCAGACCCAGCCCGCGCCCCCGGCAGCGCGCCCCGCAGGGGGGTACCTGGGCTGGGCAGCAGCGGCGCTCCGGGTCCCGCGCACGAGGACGCGCGGACTACAGTTCCTATGATGCCGCGCGCCAGCGCGGGACGGCGGGCGGGCGTGACCAGCCCTTGGCCCCGCCCCGGGGCGGGGCCAGTGCAGCGCCGCGCAGCCGCAGGAGCGTCTCCTGGAGTGGGCAAGGGCCCACGCGCCCGCGGCTGTGCGCACGCGCTCTCCGGATGTCGCCACCCTCAGCGTCGGGGTCACGCGGCTCCTCGTGCAGCCGCGCCCCCGCTGCGCGTCCCCAACTGCCCTGTGTCTCCGCACCTCCTTCTCGGCCCGGCCGCCCCCACCTCCTCCACGTCGGTCCCTCGCCCCCTCGGCCCGCCCCTGTGCCCCGGCGCTATCCCAGTCTCTGCCCTGCGCCCCCGCCCCACCTCGCCCTTTCCGTGTACTCCCCCCACCTCTTCCGCGCGACCCTCTGCCCTTCGCCCACCAGCCTCCGCGCCCTCACTTCCTGCCGCAGTCCCCGACCACCCGCCGGAGCCTGCCCCTGGAGCCCCTACCCGCCGGCGCTTGGCCTTGGTCGCTGCGACGTCTTGGACCTGTCTGGACAGACCCGGGCGCCGCTCCCCGCCCCCTCCCCTACTGCGCCCGCTGAGCCTTGGGGACCGAGGCCCCTCCCCGGGCCCGCCCCTGGACCTGGCCGTACCTTGAGGACCGAAGCCCTTCCGCGGGCCTGCTCCTGGCCTCTGTCTACACCCGGGAACAAAAGGTTCTTGCCCGCTTTCTTTCAGGCACCTTTAGAAACGTTCGCTCCCTGTCGGTCCGAAAGCCCAGTCCAGGGGCCAGAGCTCTGGCCAGCGACGGACTGCGGGCTCAAGCTGCAGAGCACGTACCAGCCTGAGACGCGGGGGCCCCAGGCACCGGTGCGGCCCAAGACCCCATTCCACCTTCAGGCTCATCTTGAACCAGCAAGGATTTGTTAACAGGGGCAGGGAGCTGAGATGAGAGGGTCCATGGGCTGCCCCGGCTGGCTGGCTCTCATAAAGTTGGGGTGCAAGATGCCCAGGCAGGGGGCACTGGCAGTCATCCCTTTTAGGGCCCTGGGTTTGCCTGAACGCCCAGTGCTTGTGCCCATCAGTGGGAAGGCAAGGCGGAAAGGCAGAGGGAGAGTCAGGAAGAATGACCAGAAAGTCTGGGGGATAGATCTGAGGGGATGCAGGGACCACCTGTGCTAACTCCGGGTCCCTGGTGTGAACACCCACAATTTCCCCACCAGCACAGCTCTTCCCCAGCTTGTGACTGTTCTACTCTTCTGGACTTGGACCTCAGTGGTACATGGCCACGAGTCACTGCCCAGAGAACTCCAGCCCTGAGTCCAGGTTATTGGGGGTGCCCAGGCTGTGCTCCACAGAGTGGGGCAGTGGGAAGCAGCTCAGGAATTGTAGGAGCCCCTCAAAATGCCCCTACCCTTCCCTTTTTCATATGTGAATGGTTTGGACCCACTCCTGGCCTGCTGGACGTGCTATTGCTGTCCCTTCGGGTGCAGAGTCCTGCAGGATTCTCTCCCGTCCATTCCATGCCTGGAAGCCTGCATGGGTCCTTGCACTCAATGGCTGTATGCTCAGCCAGCCTTGGTCCCGTCCACGGGTCCCTGTATGTGGAAAACAGCAGGAACAAATATCAATAACTGAAAACAGTTGCAGCTTGGAAGTGGGTTCTGAGATAGCTCACAGAACTTTAAGGAGAGCTGCAAGTGCCCACCAGCACTCTGGCTGTGCCCAGTCCCCACTCCTGCAGGCAGACCGAGGGGCAGAACTCCAGGGGGTTCCTGTGTGTGAGTGGCACAAGACCTGGGGGACAGGGCGGCATGGTCCTCTGAGCAGGTCAGGGGCCACTACTGGAAGTGGACAGAGGCAGGCGGCCTGGCCAGTGCCCCCATGGGGCTTAGCAAGGAGCCTGCCCACAGGATCCCTGATGGTGGCCACCCTACCCCTAGGCAGGAAGGGTGGGCACCAGGGCAAGGGCAGCACGCGAGGCCACAGAGAGTGGCAGTCTCCCCACCGTCTCCAGCTGTGTGTAGAACTGTGAGACTCCTGCGCAGGGCTGTCTGAAGTCTCCTTCCCACAAGGCCTGGGATCCCAGCCGCAGCAGGCCCTGTTGGGTGGGCTGGGAGTGGAGGGGCCCACGGTGAGCAGGAGCACCTGAGGCCGGTGGTCACTGAGAGCGGTTGCTCTGAGGGAGGACAGGCCACTCCAGGCGTTGGCTGGAGGAGGGCTCTGCAGCAGCATCAGAGGTGTGCATCGCACGGTGGTGGGGCCGCTGCAAGCTTTGAAAGGTGCAAGGTGCTGAGGCGCAGAAAAGCTGCAGGAGGGTCTCCTGGATTTAACAGTCTGTCCACGTCAGGGGAGAGCAAGGGCTGGTCCCTGGGAGCAGCCATAGGCTGGAGGCCCACAGAGACTCCTTGCCTCCCAGAGGTGCTTAGGTGGCCTCTGCACCTAACCCAGCCATGCCCAGCTCCAGGCCAACCTGGAGGAACTGCTTGGTGGTATCCCCCATCAAGTGTAGCTGCCCACTTTGTCCCACTGCCCAGGACCATCAAGAATACTCAGATCCACCATGAATTGATTTGGGCAGATGAGGAACAGAGTTCTCCTGCAGTGCCCACTCCCACCAGGGAGCATGGCCGCTATGTTCAGTTAGTGCTCCCAAAGTCCAAAATGTTCCCCACCCATGTCCTGGCCACCTGAGTCTACCCCAACCCTCATCTGACACAGGGAAGTCCCTGCAAATGTCTTTCCACAGTTTCAGGGCTCCCCCCAAGAGCCCGCTTCCAGCAGCAGCAGCCATGGGCACAGGACAACCCCGGCTTTGGAAACAGGTGTGTTCTGGTGGTAGAGCCCTGGTGCCCACAGTCTGGATCAGGGCCTTCCCTGAGCAAGAAACCCAGAGCCTAGACACGCACACACGCACAGGCATGCCACACATGTGGACATCAGGGCGCAGCGTTGGGGGTGTTGCACGTTGTTGACTGCTCTGCACACTCTTCTCGCCAGCATCCCCACGTGCTGCACATGGTCCCAGGAACAGGGCTGGCTCCCAGTGTTTCCTTGAACCCAGTACCGGCACGCAGAGCTGGGGCCTGGTTGAGGATTTCTGAGTCTCCCACTCTTCATTTCTGAACAGCACTGTCCATCTGTTCTCAGTGGTAACTTCTGCTGGAAGCCACTGGACAGAGATGTGTCCCCAGGGAGAGCTCTAGACCTGAGAACAGTTGGGCAGTGCCTCTGTGTACACGTTCCTTCTCAGCATCAAGCCGGTCTCTCTGCCTTCCCTGTGCTGGGCTTCTCTGCCTCTCCCACACCAGGGGCCTGGAGGTCAGACTGGGCTGGGCCCCAAGTGGACCAGGTCCAAGCAGAGCCATGCAGGCCTGTCATGGTTGGAGGCTCTGGCCCCTTAGTATCCCCCATCCGCAGGGGTATGGGTACCTTGGGAGGAGCAGGGGGTGCCCCTGTCAGGGAGGACCCAGTCCTCTCCTCCCACTCCCTGAAGCCTGCAGCAGCTGAGAGAGGCAGAGGACCCAGTACCCTTCTTGCCCACCTACTGGTTTAGCAAGACCTCAGCACAGCCAGCAAGCACCCCCAACCTCACTCCTGAGCCTACCCAGGGTCGCGCCCTCCTCTGTCCTCTCTGGAGCCTGTCTCTGCCCCTGGATTGAACCCTGACCCAGAGCAGAGCTCCTGCAGCAGCCTGAGTCCCCCCTGTGGGCCCCAGCCCCTCTGAGCACCTCTGGGCTGGTGCTCTGCCTGGCCAGCTGTAGCATGGCCTTCCTTGGGAGGGCTCCAGACACCAGCACTCAAGTCAGCTTTTCACAACCCCCTGGGTGCTCGTGCATCTGGGAGAGAACAAGGGAGGCTAGTTCCTGTTGGGGACACAGTGAAGCTGCTGGAGAATGACATCAAGTCACAGTAGGAGATGGGCAAACAGAGCAGCAGCACAGGTGGGTTTGAGGCCACTGCTCTGGAAGCCCTCAGTACTCATCCACAGGCAGGAGGTCAGAATGAGCACCCCAGCCTTCTGCATGCAGTGAGGGCTGGCCACACAGCACATCCTGGGCAGAGAGGGCCCCCACTGAGCCCATGGTCTCTGCGGGTGGACACTGGTGGCAGAGGAGCTGTTCCAGAAACCTGCAGGTGGCATTCTCATGGTGAAGGAGCAGGTGCTGTCAGTCCCAGGTGGGAACAAGGCACAGAGAGCCAACCTGTATGGCAAGAAGGAGAACTGGGGCCCAGGCAGAGGCTGAAGGGGCAGAGCTAGCTGCTCACAGGTGGTGCGACCGTCATGCCACGCGTGAGAGATCTACCAGAGACGGGAACGAGTCAGCAAGGTCGCAGGAAATCAGGTTCACGAAGAGCACTGTGCCCCCAACACAGGAGCAGATGGTGGGAAAATCCATGACACCATTGACGTCAAAAACGTAAACACCGGAGAATTGGTAGGAGTCGTGCCAGCCTTCTATACTGAGCTACAAAGCACGACGAGACAAACCGGGAAGAGGTACTTGTCCATGGTTGCAAGGCTCACTTAGGAGAGAATCTCCCGCAAGGCATTGGATCATCCAGTCTGGATCCCAGGCTTCTTATTTTGTAGAAAAGCTGATTCCAAACAGGAGAATTGGAAGGACCCACCACAGCCACAGCTATTTTGAGTAAGAGGAGCCAATGTTGGGGTGGGTGTTCTCACAGAAGGGCAAGAACAGCTTCCAGAAAGACACCTGCGTGTCCAGGAAGGTGCCCTGAGGCCCGGCTGGGCACGCCTTACAGAACTACTGGATGTACACAGACACATGGTCCTTAGCTGGGACAGGCGCAGCTCAGTGGCAGAGCACTGGCCTTGCATGCACAGGGCCCCAGGATCCCTCCCCATACCACAGACAAAAAGAACACCGACCCTTGTTTCATACCCATTCACAAACACCAACCTGAAATAGATTATAGGCCTGCATTAAAAGTAAAACTTGAATACATTAGTGTCGTAGCCATTAGCTATTTAAATCACAGCTGGTGACTACATGCAGGGCAGCTCAGGTAGGTAAACTTTTCATCAACACAGTCCTGCTGGGCAGTGACTACAGTAGTCTGCTTTTCATCTCTGTAAGAAAATGCCGGAGGTAGTCGGCTCGTCAGGAGGAAAGGTTTACTTCTGCTCAGTGTTGAAGGTCTTAATATTACTTGGCCCATTGATCTCTGAGCCTGTGGTTTGTCACAGTGGCTCACCTTGCTACAGGAAGCAGAAGACAGAAAGGGGCTGGGTCTCCCAGTCTCCTCCTAGTCCCCAGCCCATGACCTAGGCCTCCCAGTAGGCCCCACCTTGCCCAGGCCTCACCACCTCCCTGGGCACGAGCCTTCGACACAGCCTCGGGGAACACCTAGCACCCCAACCAAGACCTCTCCGGACCTCGGCTGGAGGCACAACCCGTGAGAGGAAGTGCTACCAGACTGCACTAGGAGCAGTGGGAGAGGCCAGAAGGGGCAGGCCACCTGGGAGAAAGGGCTTGTGTCCAGAGTAAGTGAATAACACTTGTGACCTGGGAATAAGAAGATAATCCAGTTTTTTTAAAAAGCAAGTTTTGAGAAGACACAGGTGTATAAATGACCAATAAGCCTGTGGAAGTATGCCTGATATCAGTCACGCACCATCAAGATCGAGGGTCCACAGGGTGCCCACTGGATGTTCATCCTTAAAAATAGGCGCCAAGGGCTGGCGAGCACTCGGAGCAGCCTGGGAGCCTCAGCAGCCCGTGTGCCGTCCCTCCCCACGCACCTGCTCAGGACGGGCGGAGGCATGTGCACGCGGGGCA